TTCTGCCTTGGGTGTACGCTAGGGCCACCTGAAAGCCACCCTACATATGAAGAATGGAGGAAGGCTCACGAGTGCCAAAAAAACACCGATGTAGGCGCAGGGCGCATGGAAGTTGAAGCTGCACTGCAGCTTTTTGGGCGCTCCATCAGCAAGAACGACCTCAGGTACACAAACGTAATTTGTGATGGAGACAGCCGCACCTACACAGCCCTGTGCAATGATCAGACATATGGATTCATACCACTCACAAAGGAGGACTGTGTGAATCATGTCCAGAAAAGAATGGGCACTGCGCTCCGCTCTCTTGTGAGCAAAGCAAAAAAGGGAGAAGCACTTGGTGGAAGAGGTGGCCTTACGCAAGATCTTATAAAGAGGCTCACCAGCTATTATGGCCTAGCCCTGCGAAGCAACACAGATGTGCAAGATATGCAAAGGGCGGTGATGGCAACACTCCACCACATTTCATCCACTGATGCCGAGCCCCATCATCAGCTGTGTCCTCCTGGTGCCCTCAGCTGGTGCAGGCACCGTTCAGCAGAAGCAGAAAGAAAGTCACCACCTCCACACAAGTACAACCTTCCTAGCACGGTTATAGAAGCACTGCGGCCCATCTACCAACGCCTTTCCGACCCTCAACTGCTGGCTCGATGTAGCGGCAACAAGACTCAAAATGCTGCCGAGAGCGTCCACTCAGTGATTTGGTCACTGATATCCAAGCAGCAGCATGCCTCCCTCTTCACTGTGGAAGCAGCAGTGCATGAAGCTGTTGCAAAGTACAATGTAGGCAGCTTGCGAGCTTACACCGAGATTTGCACTGCACTAGGTGTAAAACCTGGGGCTGTTGCCCTCCAGAGGGCTGCAGAAAAGGACAGCCTGCGGGCTAAAAAATCATCAAAGGACCAAAAGGCCACCTGCAGGCATGGACACCAAAGACTACTGTTCTGGTGCATATTGATGAAGGTGAAGTGCTAGAAAAACTTTGAAAGCCATTTTCTCTGAAGTGTGTTTTGGGCACTTAGTGTTGCTTGTGAAAAGTGTAGCGTGGCAGTCACTGGACCGATTTTGATGCTGGTTTTTTTTTAATCCTTGAAGTCTTGTTGACAGGATGACATTATTCTTTACCTTGCTTAGGGCCTAGTTTTTTTTTGCATGTGTTAACTAGTGCATGAGAAGTTCTGATGCAATGCATGAAGCTGATGGAGATGTTATTTGTAAAAAAAAAACTAAAAGGAATAGACAATTTTTGATAATGTCATCCTGTGTAGTCTTCTTTTGAGTAAAGATCAAAACCTTGGACCTTCCTGGCATGTTTTGTTACAATGCTAGGCTTTTCACCAGCAGACTATGTCATCAGATTATGTAACATAGTGTAATTTGAAAACTACTCGAGATATCGCAATGAAACTTCATATATAGCTATACGAGACACTCTTCAGTATGCCTGCCATATTTCATTACTCTAGCTCAACAAACAAACAAGTTTTTTTCGATCGCCACCTCCCCCCTTAAGGTGGAAGCAGACAAGAAGCACCCCTCATACTCTACTATTAATGATTTGTCGAGCTCAATTCTGTTTCAAAACAGGCCTTCGATGAGACGGCCCTTCTCAGTTCGCCTGAAGAGTCTAGCTGAGGAAACTGGAGTCTCACTTGAACACAGTTTAATGGCTCCTGTAGCATACCCGCCACCGTGGCAGTGGCAGACTATAGACTGCGATGTGTCTTTTTTAGAAGTTACAAAACATGCGCCTATTGCCCATATCCGAACATACTTCCTGGAACTTCAACACAAATACACACGTCCTGAGTTCTTTACAGATGCCTCCAAGTCTAACTCCTCTGTGTCCTTCGCTGCTGTCGGCCCATCCTTTTCGGATGCTGGCCCTCTACATCGAGGCACAAGTATCTTCACAGCGGAAGCTTACGCTATACTTGTGGCGGCTAAACACATCAAGCAATTACAATTACAAAAAGCAGTAATTTATACGGACTCACTCAGTGTGGTAACGGCTCTGCACACTCTTAAAAAACACAAAAACCCAGTCCTCGTCTCACTTTACTCCATTTTGTGCACACTCTACACACTCAAACAACATGTTGTAGTGTGCTGGGTGCCAGGGCACCGTGAGATTCAAGGCAACGTGAGGGCGGATCAGCTCGCTGCATCCGTCCACAAAAGCACTGCTCCTACACCCATATCAATCCCGGCCCTTGATCTTAAGCCGTCTATCAAACGAAACCTCAGGGACTACTGGCAGAGCAAGTGGGATACACACACAAAAAACAAACTACACATTATCAAGCCACACCTTGGCCATTGGCCACCAGTACCAAAATCACGTCATACACAGGTAACATTAACGAGGCTCAGGATAGGACACACATACACCACACACTCATATCTTTTGTCCGGTGGCGATCCACCATTGTGTGACAGATGTGGTGAAGCACTAACAGTTCTTCACATTTTAATTCAGTGCAAACAATTGGACACTATAAGAAAACAACACTTTCCATTACCCTACCGACAACATATACCTTTACATCCTGCAATTTTCGTCGGTAGGGAACCACTTTTTAGTCATAAATCATCGTTAGCGTTTTTACAAGAAATTCATAGTTTTCATATCATATACCCGGGCATTCCGTAGCACGACCTCTCCAGAGAGGTGGTCGCTGCGGTGGCTACACAAGAAAGCACTTGCCTCACGGCCCTTGGACGCAAGGGTATGAACGAGTGAGGCACTTGTGCTAATGCCATACATATCCACCATCGTCTTTTATTATCACCAACTTTTGTCATCTATTCACACCACACACACCTTTCACGGCATGGTCATGATTTTATTACTTGTATGTTCTTACCCGCCTTACCGCGAGGAATTTTATGGCCCTTATACAGCCGCTAATCACAATCATTGTCCACATTCCTTGTCCCATGAACTGGCGCTCTTTGGCCATTGAATGGCCCTTGCGCCAAAAAACACCATATATCATCTAAGCCAACACTCGCATTGCCATTTCCACAGTAAATGCACGTGTCACCTATTGCCGGCCGCAAATGTATGGCAGCCTTGCATCAGCCATTCATTATATAGTGCCTGCATACACTTAGTAACTTTGCTCGTACTGGACAGACTCTCAAAATTTTTTCGGCGGTGAATTCGTGAGGCAATAAGGGGTTTTAGTGAATTCTTTTCATGGCTACCTAAAAAAGAGTTGCAGGGCCCCTTCAAATATTCCACCTCTCCCCTCACCGTGCACGAATGAGAGCATTGTGAATGAAGGGTGCGGCAAGAGCGATTATGAGGAATCGAATGATGATGCCGAAACTTTGGAGCCAGTGCCCGCAAGCATGCCTGCAGCAATTGGCTACATTATTAGCCTCGGGCAGCTTTTATATGCCAAGGGCCTCAGCGAAGAGCGTGCTCTTGCTTTAAATAATCTCGATACCACCCCAAATCGCTTCTTTTGTTTGAAGCATGTGCTTTACGGACATTTTTGTGGAAAAAAAAAATTAGTTTTCACTTGAAGCTGTTTTAAAGCTGTGTTTTATTTACTATGAACTTTGGGATACAGCGAACAGATGCTCAGTCATGCTCAGGTTCATTATAAGCAGACTCAACTGTACTATGAAAAATACAATTTACAATAAATAAATTTAGAATAAATTTACAATAAGTAAATACAATTTACAATAAAGTAAAGGGGAGAGTCTCAATAGCACACTGTGGGCAAGTGTAGACACCTAGCATCAAGAAACACAATCATGATGAGTGTAATAATCAATGGTTCTGTGTAGGATCAATTTTTTTCTGATGATGAGTATAGTTGTCATCAGTCATTTTGTCTAAAAATCTTCTGATGACTATACTCGTCGACAGTTGGGAAAGGGTTTGAGTAAAGATCTCCACAGTTAGGCGCAAGGATTTGAATAACTCTTCCTAACGACACTGCCATGTGTTCTTGCACATGGCCACCTGTAAGGAGTGGCAAAACTATTCTCATAGTAGCTACTGCCTTGTTTCATGATGTTCACTCCACCCAACTTCTTTGCTGCTGCAGTGCACTGTGCAGGCTAGCACAGCTACAGCCGTTGAGGTGGTGTCATGGCCTCTGAGATTTCTGCAGCTAAGCCTGCTAAAGCATGTCCTTTGCTATGGTATTGTAGCTGTCTCGAAAGTCACGCCTTACTGTGCAGTTACGCTCAACAGCAGAGGGATGACAAATGAATGCAGTGACTGGTGATGTTTGTGGGGAGGGGTTGAGAAATGACTTTTGCATCAGCCTCTCGTTATAGCCACCAGTGAATGCTCTTCAAAAGCTGATAAAGCAAAGCATTAGCATGTGAGCAGCCTTGATTAGCATGTGAGCAGCCTTGGGTGTCCCAAGCCTGCCAAGCTGGCGTGGCGAGGTTCATTGGTCTATGCTTTGTGTGTGTCATCATGGGCTCGATCAGCAGCAAAGTCGGTTACTAAGTTGTGTCTGGGTTGCTCCTTGACGGTGGCCTCTTTTAATTTTTTTAGTTTTGTTGGTTTCTTTGATTTTGAGGCAATGCGGATGAGCTAGGTGCTAAACAGATGCAAAAGACCACTGTTATGGAACGGAACATAGCTGTTTGTAAAGGCTGTTGCGCTAGGGGCCAAGTCGCACTGTGCTGTTGCTGCAAGTCACTGCCGCTTTTCAGTGTGGGTAAAATAAAATGCAGGAACACCCATGTACTGAAATTTGAGTGGTACAATTTAATCCAAAAATACCTCACTATAGCATGCTGCATAATTATATCGTGTTTGCACATTAACCTTAAGAAATGAAATTTTTAATTTTCTTATATAAAGGGATGTATCGGGAATGTTCATGAAAATTGTAAGGTAGTAGTATATCCATTCAGTATTAGTCAAGCTAAACTTTCATTATGCTGTTCCAGAAATGTTATACATTAATTTTCTTAGTGCAGAATAAAGTATAGCTTCAATCTGTTTTTTTTTTTACTTCTTTCAGAGCGTCATTGTGGGCCTTATTAGTGGCCTGTGTCTATCTAATGCGGGCACACCATCCAAGCTAGAGTTGAGTACTATGTCCTCAAAGCTCAAGATTGCCCACCTTCCTCCCAGTCTGATACCAAAACAAGATGGGACTGGTAAGCTGCCTTGAGTGTGCATTTTTATTGTGGTGACAATAGCTCGAATCTTGTTCAAGTTGAAAAAGAGAGCTGAAGTTACTGTATTTACATCTGTGTCTAAAGCTCTACTACCAATTCATGAGTGCCTTCATGAGGATTGCAAAAAATGCGCACCATGATTGTTGCTTTTGGAAGAAACTGTATGTTTTCAGTTTTTTTTATTTTTCTCAAAAAAGTAAATTAGTGGCTATTTAATTTTGAGGCCTCAATGTCTCTGCAGCTAGGGCAGGTACGCGTATTTGGAATTACTGGCCCCACATCGCACGAAAGAGGGAAAAGATAGAGTGCGAGGAGGATGCCAGTGCCAGCCTCAGGATTGCTCGCGCGCTATTGGTTAGCTTCTGGAGGTGACGTGCTGGTGACGCAGCGACACCGACTAAACTTGCACACCTGCACCTCATTTTCAGCCATGCTCCCCGCTCTGCCATAGACCCTCTCCGGCTAAGCGGCGCAGCCCCCTGCCATAATCTGTGGTAACGAGGGACGGGGTCTGGCTTACACAATAAGGTAGCGAAAAAAATACTGCCTATTCAGACGCCGCGGAAGCCTCGGAGAGTGCATTGTTAACTCCCCCCAAGATTGTCCGCTTCGTGGTCATTTGAAGCAAAAACGTGGGACGAATTTTCGCTGAGCCGCCGATCTCCCGAAGACACGCTGGCAGGAGGCACTTCACATCAGATAGGTCAGCCGAACTGGCGTCTATTTCGCACGTAAATGTGTGCGAAACTTCCATGCCATTTGTAACTGCACCGTTGACTGATACACGCTTCACGTTCGATGTGTTGGCGTCTAATTCAGACGTGAGCGTCTGGGCGTCTGCCATGACAGTTGGAATCTCGTTTCTGCAATGGCAGTTGGAACTGGTGTGGTGTGTGACAGAAGTGTGGTGCATGTGATTGAACGTTAGATGGTAATTTCGAACTTTAATTCGCACATGAGCATCGACCATGCCAGCAGTGGCGCATATGTAGTGGTTCATTGAATAAAACAAAACAAAAACAGTCACTCTTCTACAACTCTTGCGGGTAGCACGGTTCGGCTCAGCTCTTACAGGGAGAGGGAAAGAGGGATGCAGAAAGGCAGAAGGGAAAGGTAGAGAAAGAGTGTGGCAGCAGGTTGTGGGTGCTTCCCTACGATGGAACAGCCGGCAAAACTCCGCACATTCTATCGCGGGCGCGTGCGTCACCAGCACGTTACCTACAGGCGTCCACGTCCCCTACAGAGAGGAACCAATAGCGTGCGAGCAATTCTGACGCTGGCGCTGGCGTCCTCCTCGCACTCTTTCTTTTCCCTCTTTCGTGCGATGCGGGGGCCAGCAATTCCGAATACGCGGCAAGTACAACAATAATTCTCTTTGCAGTGGAAACCTGTATGTGTGTAGAATGCAAGTATGGGAGCAGAATTTAGAGCACATGCCTTTTGAATTAATTACTAATCAAAATTGTAACACAATTCCAACTGCTTTTGAAAATGGATAGTTCATTTTGCTGTAAAATAACCAATAAAGGCCTAAAAACATATCCTAAATATCACCTTTGTTAGTACGCCTTTAGCAGTGAGCCGAAGACTGTTATTGAAGGAAACACAGAGGTACAGCCGACCAGCTGTCAAGCGGAGCGAGCGCAAGCAGCAACAACACTCTTCCTTCTCTTCTTTCACTGGTGCTCCTGCCTGTGCCATATATCAATGCTACAAATCACTCCCCCCCCCAGAAAAGGAGCCATCCTGGCGACCTATGGACCGGGTAGGATGGGTGGGCCGTAGTGCGGTTTCAATCGATCGACATGAACAGTCTGGCGACAGCGACGGCATTGGTCTGTCGATGGTTGAACCGGCTCAACAATATAGTTAACCACTGAGGACTGACTTAGGACTTGGTAGGGGCTTTCGTACTTCGGCAGTAGTTTGGTGGAAAGACGAGGAGCAGGTAAGGAAAGGCGAAGGCATACCAACGTGCCAGGCGAATATGACTGGGCGAGCAGGTTTTAGTCGTGACGGTCCTTTTGGTAAGCTTGATCTTGTGCGGTTAAGGAACGTGCGAGTCGCCTGTAATCTTCCGCATAGGTGGCAACTTCGGATAGAGTTGTGGGTTCGGAAGCGTCCGGAGGGTACAAGAGAATCGTGTCCATGAATGAGGAAGGTTCGCGCCCGTAGAGAAGAAAGAACGGAGAGAATCCTGTCGTAGACTGAGTGGCCCTATTGTAAGTGTAAGTAACAAAGGGGAGTATGTGGTCCCAGTTGGTGTGGTCAGCGAACACGTACATACACAGCATGTCGCCCAGTGTGCGGTTAAACCGTTCAGTCATTCCATTTGTTTGCGGATGATACGCGCTGGTTGTCCTATGCACAACGTTGCATTCACGAAGAAGGGCTTGTACGGCTTCGGAAAGAAACGTACGTCCGCGGTCGCTGAGTTGCTCACGAGGCGCGCCATGGCGAATAACAAGATTGTGAAGGATAAACAAGCCAACTTCATGTGATGTGGCCTCTGTCAGTTTCAGCATAGCGTGTCAAGTGATCGATGGCAACAACCACCCAGCGGTTCTCGTCAGGAGTGTAGGGAAGGGGACCGTACAAGTCAATTCCGATGCGGTCAAAAGGTCGGGATGGGCAAGGCAACGGCTGCAGTTGTTCATTGGCTATGTTAGGTGGACATTTTCGGCGTTGACATTTGGAACACGAACGTACGTACTGACGGACAAATCGGTACATTCCGCGCCAGTAGTACCGCAGCCGGAGGCGTGCATACGTTTTTATCACACCAGTGTGGCCGCATCGAGGATCCGCGTGAAAGGAGTTGCAAATAGCAGCACGTAGGTGGCGAGGAATCACAAGCAATCACTAGCGGCCGTCGGAAAGGTAGTTGCGACGGTACAGGAGTCCATTGCGGATGGCGAAATGTCGAGCTGTATGACGTAGTGAACGATTGGCGGTACCTTGGATTGGCTGAGACAGTACCTCTATCATAGAGACTATCCAAGCGTCTTGGCGCTGCTCGGAGTGCATGTCATTGAACGAAGGTGCCGCAGCATCGAGACTGGAAACAGACGCACTTTCATGTTCATGGGGAAGTAGAGAGCGGGAAAGAGCACCGGCATCTGAATGTCGGCGGCTCGACATTGTAGATGACACGGATATCATAGTCTTGGAGACGCAATGCTCAATGAGCCAGACAGCCAGACGGGTCTTTTAGTGATGATAACCAGCAGAGGGCGTGGTGATCATTCACGATGTCAAATGGACGACCATAGACGTAGGGTCGAAATTTTGTGATTGCTCAAACGATGGCCAGACAATCCTTTTTTTGTGACCGAATAATTCTCTTCAGCCCTAGTAAGAGTGCGACTGGCATAAGAAAGCACGTACTCGTCGAAGCCAGACTTGCGTTGAGCAAGAATAGCGCCAAGGCCGACTACACTAGGGTCGATGTGTATTTCGGTAGGGGCATCTGGGTCAAAGTGACGGAGAATTGGTGGAGATGTCAGCAAATGACGTAGTTTTGCAAATGCGTCATCGCAAGCGGAAGACCACGCCAAAATTCCTTCACTGTCAGAAAGTAGACGTGTTAAAGGGGCTATTACAGATGCGAAATCACGGACGAATCGACAAAAGTATGAACATAAGCTGATAAAGCTCCGGAGTTCTTTTAGTGTCGATGGCTTAGGAAACTGGGCAACGGCCCGGAGTTTCACAGTGTCAGGTAGAACACCATCCTTGCTGACAACATGCCCTAAGATGGTGAGCTTCCGGGCGGCAAAATGGCACTTTTTCAAATTTAGTTGGAGCCCAGCATGTGTGAGGCATTCCAGGACACTTGCGAGGCGCAGAAGATGGGTATCAAAGTCTTTTGAAAAAAACGACGACGTCGTCCAGATAGCAAAGGCATGTATGCCATTTGAGGCCTCAAAGTATGTTGTCCATCAGACGCTCGAAGGTGGCAGGGACGTTGCAAAGACCAAACGGCATCACGTTAAACTTGTACAAGCCGTCCGGAGCTACAAATGCAGTCTTGGCGTGGTCAGATTCATCCATGGGTACTTGCCAGTATCCTGATCGAAGATCCAGCGAGGAAAAGAACTCTGCCCCTTGCAAACAGTCGAGAGCGTCGTCAATTCTGGGGAGTGGATAAACATCTTTGTGCGCGATCTTGTTAAGGCACCTATAATCAACACAGAATCGGATGCTCCCGTCCTTCTTTTTGACCAGTACCACTGGGGAGGCCCACGGACTATTGGACGGCTATATGACGCCACGATTGAGCATATCAGACACTTGATCGTCAATAACTTGGCGTTCAGAATGAGAGACCTGGTATGGACGCTGACGCAATGGTGCGTGGGCACCGGTGTTTATACGATGAACAATTCCAGATGTTCGGCCCAAATTGGTTTGCTTGAAGTCGAAAGTTGTCCGGAAGCGGTCGAGAAGTGTCAAGAGCTGGGTTCGTTGGACAACAGGAAGGTCTGAATCAATCGATCGAAGGAAGGCGTCCAGGGAAGATGTGGTGGACGTGGAAGCGGGAGTAACACTGGCGATCTGAAAGCTTGTTGCGCGATCGAGCAGTTGACAGGCGCAAACACTGTCCTCAAAACGGCCGATGCATTTGCCACTGAATAATCTGGCTGGCACTGAAAGAATATTTGTGGCATAAATGGTTGCGGAAGTGTTTTCGACTATCGGAAGAGCAAAGGGTAGAAGAACGTTTTTTTCGAGAAGTGAAGTCTTCAGATGGCGTGAACACGACGTTCGAAAAAGCAGCATGGTTTGTGGGGTCTCGGTGAGGCGAACGAGCGCATCGCCACGCCACGCTCTTGGAGTGAACGGACACAGCAGCCGCGGTCGGTACAAAGCACACAACATACATACAGTTATACACAACATACATACAGGCGGCTGCGCAGAGCCTTAGGCCTAATGAGTCGCTCGGCAACAACCGGCATCCTCCCAGCACCCAGCCT